TTTAAAAATGTTGGATTTAATTGTTGCAATTTTCTATTTTTTCTTTCATTTAATCATGTCGATGACTTAATGAAATATTTACTTTGTGTCACCTGTGGATGGTTTTTGTTTAATCTCGCTATTGTTTCAAGATTTAATCTTTTGCGGTTCATGTGCATTGTTGTTAGTTAAGAATGAAGATAGGTTCAATTTTTGCAATCAAACAGTCGTCGATAGTGAAAATATATATATAGTGACAGTTACGGATAGACACGAAAGGAAATATGGTACATAGTATTTATGGGTTAGGAGTGTGTGTAGCTTTCATTGTAGAATTAAATTAATTTAAGTATGAGAAAGAAAGTTGGGCTATGTAACACACGATCCATGCATTATTAACTTAAAATGTGAACAAGATAACAATCATGGTTAATGACATTGTGTGATGACTCATGATCATAGTTATGTGAAAATTGCATATTAACAATAATGTCTGTTGTTAGGTTTAGGCTTTTCATCTTTAAACACTATGACAATGAAAATATTATTTACAAATCTAAATGTAATGTCGCAATCTATTCTAATTTTCTAAACTTCTATTTTGCCTAATCATTTTTTTTTAATTATATATTTCTTCATCGATTATTAGTCTTCGAAATTGGCATTCATGTATTTGAAAGAATAAATAAATCAATTATTAAAATATTTTAATAAGAAAAACATAATAAAATATAAGAGGATCTTATATTACAAGCCTGGTACAATTGAGAGAGATTAAAAAAAAAAAAAAAATCATAAGATATCCTCACACATTATACACATTTGTTCTTATGGTACGTTAAAAGAGATTCAAATAAGATAATTTCATAAGATTCTTAAAGGCGCACGTTTTTAATAAATTCTAGTTGAAGTATTTACTAACTAATTATATTTCATCTTTGTATCAGATTTTATGCTTAGTCTTATCTCTTTCAATCCAATGATATATCTTAAACGTTGCATAATGCAATTTATTTTAATTATTTAAAAAAAAAAAAAACATCGTTGCTCTTAGAGTTCTAAAGGAAGTAGAAATTGACTCAATTATGTTAATGAATTTAATTGATAAATAAAAGGATGCCGAGATGATTTCAAATTGATAAACACAAGTGTGTAGTTTGTGCTATAGTAAAAGAAGACTTTCAAACTTATTTCAGATAAATTTATTATAATATTTAAATCTTCTTGGTAACAAATCCAATATTTTACAACAAATCTAAGATTTTGAAAATATCTCCTTGAAATTTAATTTCCCAACTTAATGATGAGAGAGATTTGTCTCACTATTAAATTACTTTTTTTCTTCTTAATTCACTTAAGGCAAATAAGTCTTTTTATACATAGATCATCATATGAAAAGTCAAATATATCCTTATTTGATCCAACAAACATTTTCGTTTATTTAATGATAGATTAAATAAATCCCTATCTAGATTCTAATGCTCCAAAGTTTAATCTATTATAATGATTACTGATAAGATGTCCAGTGGTTTATTAACAGCAATCCAAATGTCGCAAAAAATATGATACGGGTAATTTTTTTTACTAGAACTACTTATTTAAAATTACTTGTATTTTTAAAAGTTATAATGAGGGTACAATTATTAAAAGAATATTCAAATGTTGCTGTGATTCTAAGGAAATCCCATATCTAAATGGGAGACCATTGTAGATATATTCATGTCAGTGTGTTTGTCTTCAATAAGGAACAAAACAAGAGTGAATTTCAAGATAAATAAGTTAACTATTTTTAGGTGGTTGAGTGGTTCAATATAGACTTTAGGGTGTATTACTCAAAAGGTCTTGAATTCGAATCTTTCCTTGGTTGATCATAGAGATAGTCACTGGAACTCTTATCTAACCAGTAGTTTCAAGGTTCTAAGAAATTAGTTAAGGTACACGTAAGTTGGCTCAGACACCTCCGATCATTAAAAAAAAAGGATAAAAGCGCAATCAGGCTTTCATTCCTTCCTTTAAATAGATCCTCCTTTACTCTAGTACTGTACTTATGGCGCAATCAGTAGAATATATTAGAAAGAGGAGTGGCGCAATCAGTTAAGCGATATCTGTCTTAAACTTAAATAGGTATCTTCCCGTCTAGTACTTCTTTTCTAGGAACTGTCTGAAAGTGGAAGCATAGGAGCTAGCAGAGTGCAGTTCGAGCATTAGAAGGAAGCTAAGGCAAGCAATCAGTACACGAATCCCTTCCTCTAGAAAGAGTTCCCCCTCCCCTGTAGTAGCTCTCTTCTGTTATGAGAGAAAGGGGCTAGAAGGCAATTTCATATCAAATGAATATAAACATTCAAATCATAAACCCATATATGAGAAAGTAACAACTTAGAAGGCTTGTTTTAACTTGTATGGAAACATTGGAAGTGGCATGGCTTGAAGATCAAATTTAGTCCATGTATAACAACTCCAACAACACACAAAGACAAATAAGATCAGTAAATCTACTACTAAAGAAAGACAAAATAAAGCCCAATAGGAACAAAACCTAAAATGGAAAGACACAGATTGCATTCAATATCATGAATATTAGTCTGGGTTTGATACATCACATTCTTTTTACAAAGCCCATCATGAAAACCAAATCAACTACTTTCTTGTTGAAGGATTTATACTAGGGCTTCTATTGTCACCCCTAAGTCCAATCAATATTCTTTTGACGCGGTCTTCAGCATCATAAAATTTACTATATTATAACTGAATGAAGCTGCCCAGAGTCCAATTACATCTATACACGCTTGAAGGTGGGTGAATTTGTTTATGAAATCTCATAAAGACTGTTAGGTTCATGAAGTTTCATAGAAATTAAGATGGATAAGATCAGCCATGGTCAGAGGACGCAAAGTTTAGCTTGTTCATCAAGAAATTAATTAATTAATATCTTATATAAGCAAACCTCCAGGATATTTGAGCACACAAATACATCATTCACTGTTTTATTGTCGTTGTTTAATCTGAATAGAAAGACACAACCACTGAAACAGGAAAAATGGGTAATCATAAGAAAGAAAGCCGGGACTCATCCTTCTTTACATCATTTGTTTCATTCTTGGGTATCTCCGGCAGACGCGAAGATAGAAAGAGCAGAAAAGCTGCACCACCCATGGAGCCCAAAGCAGCCATACATCCGTTATACAGAAGGTTTTTCCCATAAAAGTGTCGTCAATTTAGTCTGTTAATTTGCATACTGGTGAAGTTTATGGTTTTCATATTTCGTGCTTCGTCTTTAACTAATGTGTCAAATTAGGGGCAAGTTTTGCCTTAGGATTTGATCCTTCAAGGATGGACTCTGTATTGTTATTATGCAATAAGATGTAAGAACTTCAGTTCAATCTGTTCATGAAAATTTTCCTTTACCTTCTATTAGCTTTTAATGAGTCAATAATTTATGGAAGACCTCTTATTTCTACATTAATCAAAGAAACATCTGATTCTAATCATGAAATCCAGCTATAATTAAGTCAAATCTTTGTAATAGAAATGGAATATTACCCCATTACAGATCGGTAGAATACATTTACATGACCAAGAACTGTTACAAGCCTATAAGGTGAGATTCTTAAAGTGTATATGTACATAACAAAGTTTTCAATCTCTTGGCTTTTCAAATATTCTGTAAGTATACATGAAAATAAATAACCAATTAATGAAGAAAGAGAAATCAACTAAAACCGTATTACATATAACTTTATTACATACATACATAACAAAATATTATGTATACAACCCAATCTCACAACTTTCTCTTACAACTCTAATGTGACAACAGAATTGGCACTACCACATCAAATGACAACTTTGATTAAATGCGAACGGCCGTTTCTTAGGGACGAACGATCGTTCATTCATAAGGAATGATTATTCCATTCATAAAGAATGGTTGTTCCTTATGAAGGAATAAGAAATAATCATTCATTCCTAAGAAACGACCGTTGATATTTAATCAAGATCATCTAGTGTCTTGGGTGTCGTGAAAGCTGACATAATTATCAATTCAACTGCCACGTTTGAGTTATAAGAGAAGATTATCTTATATATATAACAATTAACAACAACAATAATACTAATAATATATACATCTTCTTATAAATTATATTTTTTAAACATCATAATAAATTTACTATTATAAGTTTATAACTAGTGAATTTGCTCTGTCCAGTTACATATAAACACGCTTAAAGATGGAGTAATTTTTTTAAAAGAATTGTGATGGAGTCAATAATTTTATTAAAATAATTTTGTTAGACATATGAAATTTCTAGGAATTTCATAACTTGACCGTCAGAAAATGATATCGGAAACCAGGATGAGATCAGCCATGGTCAAAGGACACAAAGTTTTGCTTCTTCACTACGAAATTCATAATTTAAATAATAAGAGATATTGTACTAAGTTTACCTGACCAAACAAATTAATCTTCAGGAAGTTTGAGTACATATATCTCTGAATTCAAATAAACATTCTCTTTGAAATGTCTGGAAACTTGTTTCATTGTAAAATTACTGCAATCTGATTACATTACAGAAGTCAAAGTTAAAACAAGGAAAATGGGTAAGCATAAGAAAGAGAGCCGTAGAGATTCATCGTTCTTTACATCACTAGTTTCATTCTTCTGCATATCAGGCGGAGGTGATGAAGGAGCAAAAAAGATGCACCGCCCACCAACCCGGAGGCAGCCATGGTGGCTGCTGCAAAGCATTTCTCTAGTGCTCATAAAGTGCGGCTAATTTAGTACTGGTCAACTTTATTTTGCCTTAAAATTTGATCCTTTTTAACGGATTCTGTATTATTATATGTAATTGCGTAAATAAGCTGTATGAAATTTAATTTAGTCCTTTCTTTTTGTACGGGGAAGTTTTCAATTACCTTTTCATACATGTTTTAGTCGATTATTGATCAAAGACCTCTCCATTTCCAATCACGAAATCCATAATAATAATAAAGCCAAATCTTAGTAGTAGATATGAAGTTGCATTTATCACTCCAGCTCAGCCCCTCTTCAAATGCTGAAGTAAATAATCAAAACGTTAATTTTCATAGTCTGATATCAAATTTTGAATTTAATAATTTATTCCAATGCCTTTCCTGTTAGCCATATAAACTCGCAAACTTAAATCAACACAGATCCAATATCAAAATTCAGAACGTCCAGACAGTAAAAAAAAAGAAAAAAGAAAAAAGAAAAGTTTGAACATCTAATTATCAACTCTTCGTTATCTTTTCTTTTTCTTTCTCTTTCTTCCTCCAGAAGGACAAGGTTTCGTCGAATTGCAGACAGTAGAACAATAAATGAATGATGATAAACCTTACAGAAACACTACATATATATCATACATAATGTTCTATTAGAAATGAATATTAAACTTTTACATACCGGTTTATATTCTTCGTTTATGCTAGAACTTGGAATATTCACAATTTGCCACGAGTCTTCCTCACAAGTCCACGATCCATTACCTTCTTCCACTTGTTCAGAATTGTGGAGAGATGGAATCTCTTGGACTTGGGGGTTGGTCTCATCACTCACATGTAACCAATCGAGAGATGGAATTAATTCTTGAGCCTCCTGCCTATGATCTTCAGAATTATCACAATGATCAGGTTCTGAGCAATTATTTTTAACAGGCTTTGACGATACAGTGCCTGATATTGTTGCAGAAAATCTCATTAACTTCATCCCTTGATTCTTGATGTAGTATGGAAATAATATCTTATACAGAAAAAGGGGAAACAAAGATGTACAGAGCATTGGTAATAGGAGAAAGAAAGAAAGAGCGATACAGATGAAGGCAAAAGAAATGATGTGAAGAATGAAATTGTTGCACAACACTTTAGTAATATGAATATTATATGATTCTGCGGTTGACGACCAAGCGATGGATATAGGTAAATATGGGATCTTTCAGTCGTTTTATAATGAGTAAACAATTTTTCTCACCCAAAGGTTTGGCCTAATGACACTTTCTCAATCAAAAAGTTTTAAAATACAACTATACTAACCATAACAAAGTTTTATTAGTAAATTTTTCTACGAAGAAAGGTAGGATGGTCAAAAATCCATTATAAGTAAGGGTATGATGGTCAATTAACATTCAACATTTCTAGAACTAAAAAAGGCTACAAATAAAAGTCGGCCATGTTTCCGTCTCTTATCGCCAACCGACGGCCACTGCAGTGTTACCAGCCGATGGCCACTCACTATTTCACTGCCAGATTCTGACTGTTTTAGACACCGAAAATCACCCTTGTTACCACCATACAAATCCCCTTCCTCACCTCTTAAAAACTCCACACTCTATTGGCCTCCCCCACTCGTCGTGACCTACAGTCGCCATCGCGAGACAATCATGTTTTGCGATCGCAATCCCTTGCAAAACATTGGTTTTTTTTTTTTCTGGTGTTGAATTGTGGTTTGTTGTTTGAAGTGTTCGTGTTGCTGCTGTGTTGATTTTCTAGTCGCCAACCGTTCCCCAATCTCTCCAACCTTGCTGCTTCATCCAAGCCCACCACATGTTCAACCTATTGCCCTAACGAAAAGCCCTAGTCACCAACGAGCCAGCGTGCACGCAAAGCCCTTGCGCCCATGCCCAAAGAGCATGCAAGACAACTCGCGCGAGCTCCTAGCGCCAACGAAACTGGCAACGTTGGCTTACCCCTTCACCACCACCAGATTCCCTGACCTCCATACTCCAAAAACCTTTTGACTATTACCTAATTACTCCAAAGTTTGCCGATGCCGTTTGAATTTGAGTTTCACCGCTTCCAGCCGAATCCGGTGGCCAAAATCCAAGCCGTCACCACCCCTTGCTTCATCGGCCCCCACTCTACAAAACCCCTACCACCTTAGTGCCCACTTGCTCGCCGTTCCTCATCCGAGCAACACAACTGCCTACCGTCGATTTCAATCCAGATGATAATAATAAATTTTCTTTTTAAGTCAAATAGTAAAGGGTATTTTCATCTTCACAATTTATATCATTATATTTAATAGAAATCGTTAATGGAACATAACGTTTGGATAGTAAAATTGTATTTTAAAACTTTTTAAGTTGGAAAGTATCATTATGACAATCTTTGGGTGGGAAAAGTCGTTTACTCTTTTATAATTTCAAAAAAGGGATAGAAGGTATATCGTGTTTGTTATAATATTGCATAACGTAAGAAAAGTGGTATGGCATGCAAATGGGCAAAGATGGAGTTGCACTGAAGATTTGTCCAAATTAAAATTGAAAGGTTTTGAGATATTGAGGGACTTTGTAACACACAAATGAAGAGATAGTCCCTATTTCAGTCTTCTTAAAGACTTAAAACATTAATTTGTTGTCAGACTCTGATGTTTTGCCAGACATATTCATGGAAATAAAAAGTACAAATATCCACTTACTGTGTGTTTTGGAGTGGGCCTTAGAGTTTAGGTTTTGATTTTTGAATTTGTTCTCATCTCTTAATAAACTTGTTGAATGATCCTACCCCTTCACCTCACGTGAATCCCTCTGTTAAAGTTAATGTTAAACTAAAACCAAAGACAAATCAGGTCTTGCATTGCATTGACTTTTTGTATAGTGACAATATTATATAGAAATTCATTATAATTCAAGCTATTTTATATTATTACTTTCTTTTAATTCTCATGAATATCCTTTCATGTCTTAACAAAACACAACTCCATATAATAATATCACGTTTATAGAGACGTACCCACTTCAACTTTTTATAAAATTTAATATTACATCGTCAATTTATCAACCTCTCTATTTTAATCACAATCAAAACAAAACCAAGTCAAACTGACGGCCTACTAGGAGTGACTTCACGGGAGTCACATGAACTTACCCACACCCCATCATACCCCACCTCCCACTCTTTTAACCAAAAACAAGCTGAACATCGCCTGAGTTACTTTTCGCCGGCGATTCTAACTAAATATTCTCCTCTCATCTCCTGTAATGAGAACATCCAAGCCAAATCAAGACGACGAAGAATACGACGACGAAGACTTTATGTCTAAGAAAGAAACCACTTCTAACAGTAACAATAACAACATCAAAGGTACCAGATCCATCTGCTCTCCTTCTTCATTTTTTATGCCTACCTAGTTTTTGATTAAATTCATATGTGATTTGGTAGATGGTAAAAACAGTGATAAGGCTAGTGCTATTCGATCGAAGCATTCTGTCACTGAGCAGCGAAGACGCAGCAAGATTAATGAGAGGTATTGTTTATTTCCAGTCTTTATGTTCTTTTCAATTCTTAATTTTTCGTTTCTACGACTTCTTCCTCTTGTATTCTCAATCTGTATCTAGTTTTGCTGTCATATTTTGAGGAATTGCTTTGTTTCTGCCATCAGAATTCTACTAACATTACTGGAATTAAGGATTCTCGTTAACTCGCAACATCGTAGTAGTGACATTCAACATGAAAATAATAACATTTTGTAAAAGTATACCTAATATCTTTTCTAAAAAATACAAAGCATAATTAGTTAATTTTATTATTTTAGTTTTGACTGGCCAGGTAGTGATACATGGTTAGTACCATAGCAATCTCATAGTTGTCAAAGTTTTGAACTTGCTTTATTTTGTGTGAATTGAAATTTGAGAAAAAAGGTATTGATTGAGCTTGTTGAACTGTAATATGCTGCTCTCAGATTTCAGATATTGAGAGATCTCATACCCCATAGTGATCAAAAGAGAGATACGGCATCGTTCCTATTAGAGGTAGGTCATGTATGTGGGAATGAACTGTGGTGTATATGTTAAGTTAAGCTAGAAATTATTTTCTTCAAACGTGGTGAATGACTGTGAGTTTCCCTCTGCAGGTGATCGAGTATGTCCAATTTTTACAGGAAAAATTGCAGAAGTATGAGGGTACATACCAGGATTGGAGTTCTGAGCCCACGAAGTTGATGCCATGGGTAAAGCTCCCATGCTTGGTTCTTTTTATCCATATATTCCAATTAAAAAATTAAAAAGGTGTATCTATATAATGTTCGTCAATGTGCCTTTATGCAAATTCTGGTATAGGATTTGATACCTCTGAGATAGAGTTTCTTACATATTAGTGAGAGAAATTCGAGTCGAGTATCATTTGACACTTGCATAATGAATCTTCTGGTGTTTGATTTGCTTATATTACTTGCATCCTTCAGAAGTATAATTTAGGAACATCATAGTCCATTTAATAATTATTATAGAAGTTAACCTGATGAACTACTTTATTGAGTAAACCGAAAATTACATTTTGCTTAAGGGACTTTGGATTCTCGGATTGAAGGTTGCAGAAGCATCAGCAGATTTTTGTCTGGATTCATTTGAATAATGCTTTGTGAATGGATTGTCTTTGCAAATTTAAGAGAAAAAGAGACAAACATTAAGTAGCAAATTGTCGATATCATTCACTAGTTCATCTAAAATATGCTAATTTTATTTCATCTTGGTATTTCTTACATTAGGCTATTGGGTTTGATCATAACAAGGTTGATATTGTAATGCAATGACTTGGGGCTCAAATTTCTCATAGAATCTTTGGCTTCTCTGTTTATCTATATCAGTTGCTTTTCTATTTGCTTTTTCCACAAAGTCCACTACCCTTTGCCTCTCTGTCTGCAAAAAATATTTAAAGTTTGATTCTTATATCATTCCTTTTTTCTTCTTTCTGGGGTGGGAGGACGATGAACAACAGTTGGCTTACAAGCATTTCATGTTAACTCATTGTGCTCCTGTTTTGTAACAGAGAAATAGTCACTGGCGCGTTCAAAGTTTTGCTGGTCAACCGCATGCCAAAAATGGTTCTGGTCCAGGGTCAATGTTTCCTGGGAAATTTGATGATGGCATTCCTCCAACCATGCTTACAAGCTCACAGAACCCTTTAGAGTCTGATCCTAGCAGGGATGTCTCCTGCAAAATGGATCGGCAACAGGAGTTAGCAAACAAGGGAACACCTCTGCCCATGTCTTTGCAGGGAAACATGCCCACTGCTGTAAGAAATGATATGCTAGTGCATCCTCTTCAGAGACCGGTTTCTGACGCACAGTCTAATGAGTGTCCCACCACTGGTGATATAATGAACCAACAGGAGGAGCTGACAGTTGAAGGAGGGACAATCAGCATATCAAGTGTGTACTCCCAAGGGTGGGTATTAATAAAGAATGATAAAATAATTATGCTTTTAATTTTTGTAAATATATGGTACACCAATTATTAGGTTGACTGTCATCATTTACATTGAGAGAATCTGAATTCATGTTGGGGTTTCTCCCTTTGGGGTTTGTATCTTTGTTTTTGTTAGTTTCATATCTCCAATTACCAGATGTGTGGAAAATATGAAGCACAAATGTTATCTATCTTACTTGTTGCTTTAGAAACTATTATATTTGAGTTGTGTGGTGGAGTGGTGGGGAGTTATCATATATGGATCCTATGACTGATTAACATATCAGTGACTTTTTGAAAGGTGCTTGTATGTCTCCCAATCTTTTGAACCTCAACTCTGTGTAGGCTTTTCACTTTTCACATCTATGGTGATGTAGCTAAATGTATTGAGACTTAAGTCATGGTTTAGGTGGTTAATCATTCAACTTTTGCGTGATGTGATCTTTTTCAATCACCTTTGCTCATTTTATATTCTTGGTTTTGTTTTTTCATACTAAATATCTTTGTTTGCTCATGAGTATTTATCTTTTTCTTCAAATAAATTTTGGTGTTTTTCATGCTTATGTTTCTCTTTTTTCTTAAAATATATTCTTCATTTCTGTTCAAACATTCTTTGGATGCTTAAATTATTGTCTCAATATGGAATCTGAAGGGTCGCTGCCAGGAGAATTCAAGTATTTGTTCTTTAAATGTTGAAATCCTTTTGAATAATTTTTTTTTTTTTTTTTAAATATAAATTCTTTTGGTGAGTGATAATTGGCATGTCTATTACATTTATCTGAAGCCTTCTCTAAGATTTGGGTATCAAGCAGGTTGTTGAACACTCTGACTCAAGCACTGGAAAGTGCTGGTCTAGATCTGTCACAGGCCAACATCTCGGTGCAGATTGATCTTGGGAAGCGATCAAACAGAGGGTTGATGTCTGGAAGTTCCATTGAGAAGGTATGCAGTGGGTAGATAGCTAAATGATTTCAATCTGGGTTTGTGTGGTTAAGATGGGGTCTGGGCAGATCTCTTACTCTCTTCTGCTAGCGGTGTTACCTTCTTTTTTATTTATTTGTTTTTTGATGGGTAACTGATGGTAAATATATTAATGGGAGTTAAAAGAGAGATATAATTTTGGATAAGAAATCCACTATTGACTAGATCTTTCCTGAGTATCTACACAAAATACCCCAAAAAACTATAAGTATCTATACATGATAAGTAACCCTAAAATGTGACAAAACTAGAACAGGTTTGGCTAAAACCCCATTTCAGTTAAAGTGAATGAGAAGGATGAAGTATCTTGAAAGTCTTTGGAAACTGAAGCCAACAAAGCTGCAAAAAATACACTTTGTCCCACAACAAATTGTTTTCTCCAAAATCCTTGTATTTCTTTCACACCAGATCACACCAAAAAGAGTGAGCACCACACACTTCTATATGGTTGGAACCTTCTATTCTGTTACAAGTTTATATCAATTAATTTTACAGTTCATGTTTGATTTAGTTGACAATATCTATCTTTACTGTTTTCCAGGGTCCCCAAAATCCCGCCTCTAGCAATCAGGCCATGGCAAAACTTAGGGATTTCAGCAGCAGTGAAGACTCAGATCAAGCTCAAAAACGGTTGAAGACATAAGGCTAGTATGGCATTTCCTGAGTCTTCGTTTTCGCCTTTATTTTCTCTTCTGTCCTTTCTTCCTTTCTGTTTCTATTTGGTTTTTTCTCATTCAATTGTTGTACATGCTTGCATTTGGTTTCCTTGGGTTCTTACCATATATTGTGGGACTCATATCAAGAGCTATTACCTTGAATTATATGTTTATGTAGTTCATGTTGTGATTTATGTTCAGGGGATGCCATTTCCTTTATTGTGCTTGTATCATATATAATGATTTAAAACATATGAAATAGGGGCCCATTGGGGTCCAATTGCTTGGATAATGGGTTGGTTGTTTGTCTGTACAAACTTTTTATTTGGAAATATTAATAAATTTTCAAACTGGTATCAGTCACAATATTAAGCAAAATCTAAATGTGTTGTCAATGAAATTCTTCAAACTTTTGTGTTGTATAGTATGTTTTTGTGAAAGCAAATTAACTGTACTTCTGGATATTATACATTAGAATCTCCAAACCTGTCGTAATAGAGCAATCTATTAATTAGCTTTTCATGTATAGCATAGCATGGCTTTTATGGTTCCTAAGGTACCAAGATTTTGAGTCCTTAGTTTTGCCTCTTTTCAGTTTGTTGGTAGTTTTTCGATTTTGTATCTGTTTTGTGGTGTTGTTTGTATGTTAGTTTATAATGGGCAATCTGAAGTAACTTGGCGTTGCAGTAATTATTTTTGGCATCCTGCCTGCCTGAAGATTGTTGGGAATTCAAAGAAAATCGAGTGCTTAAGTTGTAGCCGAGCAATTCAGTCTAAGTTATGGCAGGAAAACAAATTAAATGAGCATGTGTGTTCTGGGTTCACTGAAATGTGGAAATGTTTATGAAATGAACATTGTTGGTTTTTTTCAATTTTATTTTAAATGGGGATGAATGTTGTGACTTGTGGGTGAGATTGGAGATTTAAATTGAAGAACTGGTTAATGGCTGTAACTTAATAGGTCGGTTGGGTTTGGCAAGCGACGGTGTTCAATACGTTAAATAAATTTTGTTCATATGATTTAAAAGTTAATAGTACATTGAAGCAATACAAGAGTTAGATGATTCCAAGGGATTTGGCATGGGTGGTCAGTTGTTTTCAGACTAAGATCATTTTGTATATTTGTTTTCATGATCATCATATTTCACGCAGGGCTTGTAATCTTTTAACCTTTAGAAATAATGTGGATCGCACCAGTAGTGTAGCAATAATTATTAATAATATTATGAACATGTGTCCTTAGGACTTAGGAGAGGATTCAAATTTGCAAAATAATAAAGAAAGCTTCTTAATTAACTCAAAATTGATCCCGGCTGTAATATTACTTGATCTAACAGTTCTACACTAGTTGAGATAACGTGGATTGATTTGACGGGTCCTAATGGTTTGTATGCGTTTAGCTTATGGCATTTTTCTTGTATTTAAAACAATTAAATACTAAAATGATAATTTATCTTTTACTTATGTATAAAATAAAAGTTTAAATCTTGAGATATTACAATTTTTTACAAAAGGATTTAAAGAAAAAAAAGTTTTTAAAATATAAAATATAAAAAAATAATTAAGGGCATGTTAACAAATAAGAACAACCTGCCGTCCCCTTTTTTGTCTTTTCCTAAAAAATTGGTATCTCGAAGAGAAGGTAGCTTCTGTAAACAAATGTTAGAGACTTGAAAACATTATTTGAACATTTTATTACCATCAAAACATGTTTTGAGTTATATATATAACTAAATTAAATTATTCAATTAACTCAACATCTTTAAAAGACTCTTTATATGATCTAAACTATTTATTATAAAAAATTTATTCATAAAAATAAAAGTCTAACATACTCTTTATTTTTTTAAACAAAAATTAAAAAATGAGTTTAACTATCAAATTTCACTTTTTATTCCAATTTTAATTAATAAACTATAAATTTTTATACATTTTATTTATTAATTCTCTCTTCTATTAAGTCTCTTTCTTAAAAATAAAGAATATTTTTATTAAATTTAAAAAATTTATTAAATTTGAATAAAAATTTTGTTCTTTATATTTAGAAATTAGCGAAGATACTCTTCATTTACATTAATTATACTTTTTAAAATAAAGAGGATAGCTAAGGATGCTCTTAAATGTGCATTTATTGGTGTATAATTCAATTAATTTAATATACATCCGCAATATTGCAGTTAAATTCAGAATGTCCGAAGTCAACTCAATATAATAGTTAGAGATGGCAATTGACCCGATATTTTTTTATACCCGACCCGATTTGGCCCCAAAGGGGCGAGCTTTACCCGAGGTTGACGGGCTTAGGCTTGGGCCTGGGCTTGATTTTAAGGCCCGATCTCGGGTACGGGCCAGACATGGGTATATCTTTAGGCCCGGCCCGTCCCCAAAAATTTTAGTATTAATTTTACTAATTTACCCTTATACTATATATTTAATTACAATATTATCCTCTATATATATATATGTCCATTTTTTCCAAACCCTAACCACAATTTTTATCCCGTATTGAAGGTTTAACATGTTAAAATTGCTTTTAAATAAGTTAGATAGGTTTGATTCAACTTATAAAAATGGATTTCACCATAACATATTATGCACAGTTAAAAAGTTAGTATAATCAAATATTATAGAGTTTTAATTGCTCACTTATTGCTTAAATTATTTACGGAAATAGCTTCAATTAATATTTAAAAACTATTTCTAAAATTAAATATAAAAAAAAATTTAAAATTTATTAATATTTAAAAATAAACATTATTAAAAAAGGCAGGCTTGGGCCGGGCCTACGATTATAAAAAGCCCGTCGGGCCGAGCTTGGACTTTGTCTATCATATCAGTAACGGGCTCGAACCATGCTTGGGCCTGTGTCATGAGGTCGGGCTTGGGCCTGGGCCACGGGGTACCCGGTCCCAGCCCGGCCCGGCCCATTGCCATCACTAATAATAGCAGTTATAAATGAGTACATAGAAATTGATCACCGATTGTTTCAATTTTTTTATTTTTTTTCATTTTCATGATACTAAAAGTAAATGAGGTAGGAGCCATTAATCATCAGTCTTTCCCCCTTCCCAAAACCATAAACTCGTATAGTTGGAGTTGCAATCGCAGAGAGGAGAAAAAGATGTTCCACAACTGTTACCACAAAGGCTCTCATGCGCTGCAAATTCAGTTACTAACATGGTTAAAAAATAAAAATAATAATGAATCACTTACATAACCCTCAGAGTCTTGATTTTCAACTCTCTTTTTGAGACGCCATTCCCACAACCACCTTCATTTATTTGTCATTGCTGTAACCCCCCATAACTTTCATCAGAAAAGCATAATCATAAGCCGTTTCCTTGCACTGACTATATCGGCCACCTTCTCCAAAATGTCCTCCATGCATATTTGTCTTCAGAATTACTGACTGAGAACAAGCAGAACAAGTTCTTTCCCGTACTTTGGCCACCCATTTGGCAGCTCCCCATACTCCAACTCTGAGAAGAATTTTATATTCTACCAGTATAAGTTAGTCGATACAATGTACATATGCAAGGTAAGATATATACGAGCAAGTAAATGCTAACAATAGAAAACACAAGATGTGTAATTGCCTTGAGTCATGAAATGATGCTGTAACAAGCATTGAAGGATAGCAAACACCACAAGTAATGTTATCATAAGGAGAATAACTTCGAATGCACTCAAATTGGGATTGTATCTGAGGGTTTCCAAATTCTTCATAGTCAAGTGTGGTGAGAGGTAAACTGGGATCCAACAATGTGGTGCAGATATCAAGAAATGGAACCTGAAATAAACATTAACCAAACGTCAGTGACAAGATTTCAACTTTTAACTGCACACGAAATACTAATTGCTAAAATTAGCCATAGTAGATACCATCCATTTTGTTTCTATCATCATAGAGAAAAATAAGTGAGTTCAGATCATTTGTATTTCTTTATTCTTTGCCAAGTATAAATTATAGCAAAAATCATAGAACTAGATCCATTTATGAGGCAAATAAAACACTCTCAAATTGAGAAACACCATATTTTATGTTACATTAATGTCTCACCTTCAAAATGGTAGCACTAAACAATTTTGGGAACATGTTTATTGCTGCCCCCACAAGTAGACATCCCGCACTATATCCAATGGCACCAAGTCGATCTCGACAAACATAGCCCTCATTAACCAGGTAGTTGCCACATGATATGAAGTCATCAATAGAATTTCTTTTATATAATCCACTTCCAAATTCATGCCATGAAGAATCAGCCCCACCACCACCCCTGGCCACAAAAAAAAAAAAAAAAAAAAAAAAAAAAAAAAAAAAAGAAATGTCACTGGAAATAATAAATATCTCAAAAGTACCACCAAGGACATTTTATATTTCAACGAAGACGATAAGTGACTGAAGGGTATTTGATGTACTAGATTAAACAAAGCAATTAAGCTATATATTAAGTGAAATCACACTAAATATAGATGATGACAATAAAAGATATATAACCAAAACATCATACAAATAGGAAAACAAAAGTACTAAACCTGCAGACTTGGTTTCAAAAGTCTTGAATTATTGATAACATGCAGGTAGTTTCATTTTTTCAACTTACATAAAAGATTTGAAAATTACGAAGTGTATTCAGATTATCATTGCCACATTGGTCATGAGAAATATAATAATAAAGAAAACCCAATCAACCAACCTAACATCAGCAAATGCCACCACCCAACCACGATCAAGTAAACTCAAGCGGTCTGCGGACCAACTTTTATCCAGAACTTCTCCATATGCTCCATAGGCTTGTAAGAGTCCAGGAGACTGACCCCTCTGCCAGGATTTTTTTGAGAACAAAATGGTCAATGCAACCTTAACACCATCATGGGAGACAACTTCCCTCGTCTCACAACAATAGGCACTGGAAAAGGTCTTCCATTTCTGCAATCCGATATTTTGTTAATTTTCAGCCTCGTAGTTATGTTAGTCAATATGTTCTGTGGTGTCTAGCTCACTTGCAGTAGAAAATAATCCAGCATTACCAGAAGCACCACTGACTTCCTCTTGCTGAACAATTGAGAATGTTTGTCTCAACATGTTGTAGTCAACAATCACATCAGGCATCTGTACATTCCAGAAAAAGATTAGAGGAACCTCAAGAAATCAAATAAATGTCGATTTTTCTCTTTTTTC